CACCACCCATGTACATGTACATTGCTAGGTTGTTGTTCTGTTGCTTTTTCTTCTTATCTATTTTAAAGAATTAAACCTCTTTGATACAACTAAAAGAAGGAGAAAATCATATTTGTTAACGACATATGCTTATGTATTTATTACCAGCTGTTCACCTCCAATTATGTTAATTTTCTAAATAAGGTTTAATAATCACGAATGGGAATTGTTTTATTCAATATACAAATAAAATTATATTTTTTCAGCTAAATTTAATCCCAAAGCAGATACTCAAAAATTACTTTAAAATATTTCTCAAACTGAACATTCGTGTTAACCTTGCTGTCACACCCCAGGTGGAATTTCAAATGAATTCGCTGAAAACAATATGAATGACCAAAAAACAGTCAGACTAAATATCCCCAGAGCTTTGAATATAAGCCCAATGTTAAAGATTAAGGTTGATTAGTTACATACAAATACGATATTATTGTTTTGAAACTCGTAGCGATTATAATTGCAGTTCATAAATTGGTCGAAGCGCACGCACAATGTCCATAGCAAGCCCGCAAGCTCGTCAGAAATACACTCAGGAGTGAGAGCCGTTATGTCAACAAACGCACGTGCGTGTAGAGACGAGTCTTCTTGGAGGTTACGGAAAGGGCGAGTGGTGACGAATGAAGGCCTGTATAAACCTGCCAAGAATCGTATCAAACCAGACAAAGCGGTGCTTTGATAAAAACAATCCCAAGTACTTCAATAATTATGTCGTTATGCTATTGTTTAAGAAATCATGAAGAATTGTGTTGCCTCAAGTGAAGATTTTAATAAGAATAATGTCATGGACGGCAAGAGATTCAAATTATATAATAATTTGCTGTGTATTTGTTCACATAACGGCTGTCATGCTGGCAACTGAGTGTGTTTCTGACGATCTTGTGGGCTTGTTTCGGAGATTGTACGTGCGCTTTCCAACATTTTAGGAAATATACATAAACATTTATAAAACGCTACGAGTTTCAAAACAATAATATTACATCTATGTATTGTAACTAATCAACTTTAATATCTAACATTGGATTTACATTTCACAACTCTTACGACTTTTTACCAGGGTCATTAATATTTTGTTCAGCGTATCCATTCTAAAATTCCACCACTCTTATGGCAGCAAGGTTACACTAAAGTTCAATTTGAGAAATATTTGAAAGTTACTTTTGAGTATCTGCTTTGGAATTATTGTAGCTGAAAAAAAAGATTATTATGCATATATATATATATATATATATATATATCAGGTGAGCACAAGGAGCTGCCATATAGCTAGAATATTGCTGACTGCGGCGTAAAACTAAACTCACTCACTCACAATGAGCTTGCTAAAACGCTTTTATGTTGCGATACCTAACACAACCTCGTGACATGACTATGTACGTTCTGCAGTCCAGTTATTATATATTTGTTTATACTCTGTAGTATATGATGTTGATCCTAAGCATAATGTATCACTCTGGGATATGTCCAGTATCTGGCACAATTGTATATCGAAACATGCAACCGATCTGGAAAAATGTTTCAAAATATCTACTTTGCTGATATACATTTTTCACAAAACTTTGTTATGGGGCAGTGTTACATGTTGTGGCAACAATGTCTCATCTGTTCTACATTGATAGAGTGATCTGGAAAAGTCTACAAGGAACTTATTCCTAAATCATCTGCCTGAGATGCTACTGAAGCCACAGGAAGCCCAGGATTGCATGTGACGATCATACCCTGGAAACTCTATGCCTAGTTCTTCCTTCCAAGTCGGACTGCTGTTGCTGAGATGTTAAAATTACCTCTGTTGTATTTATTGCTACAATCAGTTCTTGTATTGTATTACCTATAAATGTGTACTGCTCTACTGATGCCTTTGAAGAGACCTGTATTCCTAAATCATCTGCCTGAGATGTTATCTGAAGCCACAGGCAGACCAGGACTGCATGTGACGATCATACCCTGGAAACTCTATGCCTTGTTCTTTCTTCTTAGTTGGACTACTGTTGCTGAGATGTGAATATTACCATTATTGTATTTATAGCTACAATCAATGTTCTTGTATTGTATTTGTATTTGAATTTGTACTGCTCTACTGATACCTTTGTAGTGATTTGTATAAATTTGTATGCTTACTTAATTATAGAATACAGTCATTAATTGCAGCACATTTCTTTATTGTCTGTTAGTTTCACACGTAGTTTTCTTACTGACTGATTCCCCGTGAGCTATTTCGTTTCAACTTGGAATCAAATCGTAACAACGTAGATATGCACAAAACACTCATACGCCATTTAGGATCATATAAAAATCACAAAAGTTCATGAAAGGCGACGCAAGAATATTTATTAGAAATTAACAGACTATGAAAAACTTGCACAAATACCACAACAAAACATGTGGCGGAATGAACACTGGAACAGAATTTGAAATATATTGGCGTACATTTTATATTTGATATCTCGGTTGATTATATTTCACCTGAAAGAAGTTTCCATTTCATGCACACATGAAATTAAACATCCAATGGTGAATAGTATAATTGTGGCAGGTGTTAGAGAGCATAAGAGCATAAATGTGTTCATGGTGATTTGTTTAAAACTAACAAGATTAAGAATTAAGAACATATAATATATGTACATTGCTGTCGATGTGTTAATTAAGGGGAACGTAAGACAAGAAATGAAGCTAGCTATATTGGACTCTTGAGGATAAAACAAACAAATACAATAGATATGAATAATATTATACTAATAAATCATATAACGATAAGTCCTTACGTTTCAAACAGTACATCTAATGATAATGCAGTTTTAGCTTTCAGCAAGATTTACATCTCAATTGCAGAAACACTGCCGTTAATTTAGTCGAAAGTAATAATACGAGTGTGTTTGCCAACGTGTAGTTTAGAAAGTTGGTATTTGCATGTCATGTGTTGACATATTGAAAACTGATATGGACCTCACTACACTACACGAAAAAGTCGTTTTCGCCTGGTAACAGGACAGGAGAAACCAAAACCACACATACCCTCTACACATGAAGAACAACAGTATCAATCATACATTTAAGCTAAACCTAAGACATAAAACTGATTAGCAAACCGTTTTTTCAGCACTAATAATTCAGTACTAATTATTATGTATGTTATCGTCTTCTTATATTACATAAACCCGTGAAGGTCCGGGTTAGAATATATCTTCAGTAACCCATGCTTGTCGTAAGAGGCCCCTAACGGGATCGGGTGGTCAGGTTAGCTGACTTGGTTGACACGTGTCAGCGGTTCCCAATTGCGCAGATCGATGCTCATGCTGTTGATCACTGGATTGTCTGGTCCAGACTCGATTATTTACAGACCGCCGCCATATAGCTGGAATATTGCTGAGTGCGGAGTAAATCTAAACTCACTCACTCACTCTTATATTACATAAACTAATGGCATTCTAACATGCAAAGTTTCACGACAAATAACCACCATTTCACCACTTCCAGCCGTGACTAAGCACACAAATAATCAGCAAGGTGTCAGCACACAAAGTCATATACAATGCCGTCCGGTAATTCCGCGCACCTAAGCACATCGATCGCAACACGGCAACTAATGTTTCTTATTTTTTGTGGTTTACGTGACTAAACATGCTGGTATGCATCATATTTACCTAGAAATATAAGGTTTTTTTGACGACTATAAGATTCTAACATTGCATTATGCCATACGCTTGACCTTACCGGCGTTCTGACCACATCGCTTGCTGTCCGGTAATTCTGCGCAGCAACTGATGCGCATAACATCCAGCTGGAGATCCGAAGTATGGAAGCGTATTAGGGCCAGATTATTTTCAAAAATCACTTCATCAATGTAAGGAAGAGTGTTTCATATCAAATCCAATTATAAATAATGAAGAAAAAGGTTTAAAAGTCGGAAGAAAACGATTTTTTAATATTATATATCTATTTTTTATATTATATATATATTTTTATATTTTTTATATTATATATATATTTTTATATTTTTATATTATATATATATATTTTTATTTTTTTGTCATTTAAAAACTGAATGCGTTAGCGTGAGGTTTTAAATTAAACATTTAGTGGTCTTAAATCAACGATAAAGGACCGCAAAATTGAAAACAGAGTAGCTTTTTCTTCATTCTAGCACGACTGATAAGCGTTTTAAAACCGAACTGTTTGGCGCGCAAGAACACAAGGCGCAAAGGGGCCTTTTTTCCTGGAAAGCGCTTGGAATCGTCCCGTTCAGGGACAGGTTGTGTAATGAACAAAATAAGACATTTTCAACAACATAAATGCTTTATTTCAGGTACCAGTATGCTTGTATTTGTAACAAGTAGCATACATAATAAAAAAATACAGTTTATACTGTGAGCAAGTACAATAATTTGATTTTTCTCAAGCGAATTATTGATTTCCCCTACTGTATGACAATCGACTCGCCCAAATTTAAGCCGTGAACTCGTTAAGTATAGTAGCCTCTAACTTTATTCACGGGAATAATTGTTGATAACCACCCTACTATTTGGATGTGGGATACATGGACAGTGGAAGTGGAAGGACTGGGCATTACGGCCGGGACGGAAGCGGTCAGGTTAGGACGTGTGGGCCGACGTGTGTTGTCGACGTCAACACACGTAGATCTGGACCCGGTTTGAATATACTGCCGCTTTTGCGCTGCTGACGGATTTTCCAGCTTCGTAGTTTCTTCACTGGGATTAGGGTCAAGAAATTCTTCTTCAAACCATTCGCTTTTTACTTCAAAAACACCAAAGATGCTGCCGAGATAGAAATTGCCGATGTCCGACATATTTGTTTACAAACTATAGGGTCAACGAGTTCGTTGTATTCATACGCGGTGAATCGGTCATTTTAATTAGCGGTCTTAAACTGACATTTAAGTACGGGTTTGTTGAGCTCAGAATCGAGTATCACACAATGTCGTGCTAGAATTACCTTTAGTGATTAAAAGCCAGTCCCTTGTAGAAATGTCCCGATTTCAAGGGTAAATGTGGTAGCAGACGATGTTTACCTTCGATACGGATGTACGCTATTGCAGCAGCGCAGAATTACTGGACGCGTGGAATTACCGGACTCGCTTGTACATGTACAGTGTGCAGCTTCTAATCGGAAATAACCAAATGCTAAGTTTAACAACAGGTGTCCGTCGATTCACTAATCCCTTCCATGAATAAGAAAACTAACAAAAGCAAGGTAGCAACACATATGCAGTTACAGTATTCAGTTTCTAATCGGAATTACATACATGCCACGTGAGTGGGTGAGTGAGTTAAATTTAAAGTCACACATACATGCCAAGATTCACGACCATCCACTCATCACTAAGTCTTCCTTTCGTAAATAAGCATAAAAATGCTAAGCAAGGTTACAGATACACATACACAGATACGAAACAGTTGTCCCTGATACAGTCTAGTGCGTGTTATTATCGCCCGATCATAAACAGGAAGTTATCCTTCGCAGATATCGACTCTTGTTTGTCTGCCAGACCATGCTGTCGTCTTGATCTCAGCCACTCATGCGCGGGCATCACGGAAGCTTTAATACGCTGAAACATCAGATACACACACAAGCAAGGTAACACCTCAAACATCAGGACATTGGACAAACAAGAGGAACCATATACAAATATGACGCTTTATCGATAACATATTTTTGGAATGTAACGTTAAACTGGCTCTAGATTTTTCACAAATTCGTCCTAGTTGCAATTGTGCAGAAGTCATGAGTGAGTGAGTGAGTTAAAATTTAACGTCACATCGGCAATATTTCAGCCATATCGTGACGAGAACAATTAATTTTATACATAGTAAGCAATGGTAAACTATAGAAACCTGTCAACGAAGGACAGTAAAATAACTAGATAATCACAGATTCGAATTTAAAACTAGTAATTAAATCTAAAACAGTTTAACTATAGATGACAATACAAGGTAAAACAGGCTATGTATTGCCAACAACTGAAGGTAGATCACCATACTAGGGACCATGGGGACTGTTGATTGTTTAACGCTGTACCGCAATTTATCCAGCTACGTGTAAATGTGTAAAATTTATGTTACGACATCCCACGAGATACAAGAGATATATTTCCAAGTCACAGTATCTGGCCACCACATTTAATTCATTCTGACCTTACGAAAAGCAATATATTTGTTGGACCTGTGTTAACTCTAGACCAAGCACAAGAAAAAGTTACTTGTTAGGTTTCAGTTGCATTCCATACAACATATTATAGGTATGAACAGTTTCTACCTGTGCCAGGGATCCTTCCATCTTGAGTATTTGTATGACCATGTAGACTGGAACAGGAACTACGGACACAAGAGCAATGAACCATCCGAAGACGATGGCCGAAGTGGGGTAGTCGTACTCTCCGTATCTTGGAGGCTTGTATGAAGCCAGCGTCAAAACCAAAGCTATCTGCAATGACATATTTTTGTTCCGAACTACATTCTCAAGTTTTATATATTCAGAAGTACATACATTTACATCTGAAAGACATATACACTTGTTGATGTATATACTAAGTTTGAAGGCTATATTCAAAAGCTGTAATCATTCATTTGGAACACAAAATATTCAAAGGAAAACCAAACAGGTTATCAGCCTTTGATGCAAATATGTAGTATAACGTTATCTATTATCAATAAATGACTTGTTTTAGTCACGATATGACTGAAATATTGCCGGTGTCACTGTAATTTTAACGGTTGTACAGTATACGTAGTAGTTACTTTTGTACTGACCAGTACATTGTATTTGAGGTGAGTTGAGGTGAAATTGGGTTTTACGTCGTACTTGAGAATATTTGAGAATATGATTACGTGCATGCGTGTATATGTGTATGTGCGGCTTCTTGTACTAGCCCAGACTTAAGCTGGTTTTATAGTGCTAGCCCACTGAGATACCATGCCGCAGTGAAGCATGAATACCCCACTCAGACTTATTATACTGACTCCGAGCCGACCAGTCCTTGTTGTACCCATAATGCCGAGCGCCAGGCAGGGACCAACAAGTACCATATTTTAACGTCTTTTGGTATGACGCGGTCGGGGATCGAACCCGCGACCTTCCGCTCTCCGGGCGGACGCTCTAACCACTACACCACGGAGGCGGTCACATTGTATTTGAAGTGTTGTTTGTTTGTTTGTTGTTTAACGCCGCAATACTCCAGCTATACTGTGCTGGTCTGTAAATAATTCAGTCTGGTCCAGACAATCCAGTGATCAACAATGTGATCACAGATCTACGCAAATGGGATACGATGACATGTGTCAAACAAATCATCGAGCGTGACCACCCGATCCCGTTTGTGGCCTCTTACGATAAGCATGGGTTGTTGAAGACCAATTGTAGCCAGGATTTTCACGGGTTATTTAAAGGGATGATAATCCAATGAATTCAAAGTTAAGATGTAAAGCGATACGAAAAGAAATGAGACCTACGGTCAAGAGAGCAGGGACGATGATGAAACAAACAACTTTGTAGATCACAGGCAGGCGTTTTCCAATCATCATCTGCACATCAGCAGAGAAACGCTCGGCTCCTGCCAAATACAGTTTGATAATTCGTGTCAGAAAAATGTGAACAGAAATGTTCATACCGCACAAACTCTTTGTTACTATAATCCGTTTGGCTCAAAAGCGGAACTATAATCCATAATCCAATGAATTGCAATCTAACTCGAAAACTAATAAACATAAAATACTCAATGAAACACTGATCATAATCAAAACGTCAGACCAACTCTGTGAGGCTTTTGCAGAATTTATGTCCTAAAAATAAAATAGTTGTTTAACATACTATCCTTAAAATATTGACACAGTTCACTATTTGTTACGAGGGAGGAGTGCAGAGAAAGGGACAGCCAGGTGTGCGAGAAAGGATGGAGACGGCACAGCACAGGTTAATGAATCAATAACTTTGTCGGCACATGTGCACGTGCTTCTCTAACACCTGGCTGTCCCTTTCCCCGCACTCCGCCCTCGTAACAAATAGTGAACTGTGTCAAAATTTAATGATAGTTTGTTAAACAACTTTTTAATTTTGGACATAAATTCTGCAAACAAAATCACAGAGTTTGTCTGATATGATCAGCGTTTCATTGAGTATTATATGTTTATTAGTTTTCGAGTTAGGATTGCAATTCATCGGTCCGCTTTTGGAGCCAAACGGACTATAACCCCTTGGAAGCAGGCTAGCCAATGAAGATATATAAATTATGTTATATATAATTGCATCCGTTTTATTCAATTCATGCAGGATTCGAAACACCGAAGCATGATTGGAATGGTATGAATTTTCAAGTTTTGCAGAATAAACTACATGTGTTGCATTTGTTTTCTGCTAAACGATGCACACTTTCAAGCCAGCATTCTAGCTGTATGACGGTGGGCTGTAGTTACACGATTTTCAACCAAATGATCCAGTGTTTTACGTCATGGTAATAGACTTGTAGAATCGAGTTGTGCAACTGATAACAGGCATATGCATCGCTCAAATCAGCAAACGTAATAATCCCGATTACGATCATCACATTGAAACTAATTGTATGCATGTACATAGTAATAAATGAGATTACATATCACTTCTAAAATCTCATTTATAAATATATACATGTATATAATTAGTTTCAAATGTGAAGATACATGACGTTACATATATGCGTGTGTTTGTGTGTATATATGTTATTATAACCTAAATGTTTTGTTATGGAAGATGAAAGTAATGACTTTTCAGAATCCTTAGCAATTATATACTGTTAAGGGAGACAACCACGTCAGTAATAGTAATACTTATAGTAGGGTAAATTTTGCTGTCATTCAGTATTTGAATTATCTTACTCAATAGTCTGTTTTTTCAGAGTGCCAAATATTATAGTGAGTGAGTGAGTGAGTGAGTGGGTTTTGCAAATTTGAAGAACTCTATGGGAGGTAATTTATGCCCTGTTACAAATATTGTTTGTAATGATTGTAATGTTTGTAATTAATTGCAATGGTCTGAGTTCAGTTCAATTAATGCATTTGACTCATTGTACTGATAGAAAATTAACTTGACCAAATATACTTATCAATGTAGCCTGAGCAGGAGGCCTTGAACATTGAAGAAGTAATCTGGAATCCTGAAAGTTATTTGCACATAAGCACTTAGCCTTCAAGGGTTGCTCCAGTTACGTTTATATAGCCTCCCATGACAGCCTTTTATGATGGAATTCTAATGACATGGTATTCTTTGTGTATAAAGCGATCATCATGCTGATGATCGGGCGTCGATTCCTCAAAAGGATAAATGTTTTTCCCTACGGTTTCATGGCAAAACGTGTCGTGAACCCATGTTCTCCCATTCACTGAGGTTATATGACTTGCCTTTTCATGGCACATGTGCATCAGTTGATCAGAGTACGCCCACCATATCATCTTTGGTAACGAGTTATTATCACATGTTCGTGAGATGGTCTGAATCGTACTATCCACTCACGCTTATAACACAGATGAGCGTATGTATATGGAAAGGGTTTTGGTGCTTCTATTAATACATAAGAATGCATTTTGTAACTGTCCCTACCGTAACACCAGCCAACGGCTACACACTCGAGTACAGCAATGACGTAGCAGGCCACAGCGCCCAAATACCAATCAACCAACTGGAACACGTATACTCCGCCCTGGAATGCGTACATATACATGTGAAACACTGGCGTGCACTGATGGATTATTTCCCTGTAAAATATTGTTCCCCTGAAAGGGTGTGTAAAGCCCACGTTATTCAAATCATTGTTACTGAGTCTAAAAGAAACTTCAATTCTTTCTTCAGGGCACTATAAAAGAACAAGAGATGGAAAGATGGTTAAATTGTTATTATTTCATTGCTGAGATCAGTGTGATGTACTCGGTACACTGACAGTGCCATAATCAGTTCCATTAGGCTACACCGCCGTTCCAAAACATGGGTATACAGAATGTCAACTCACTGAATTGAAATGCGAAATTTCTCAGTTCGATATCGTGTATGGCCGCCCCGCGCATTCACCACTGCCAAACACCGTCTCCTCATCGACTGTCTGATGCTTGTGAACACGTGGTTGGGGATTCTGCGCCATTGCTCTTGCAAGGCAGCGCCAAGTTCCTGCAAATTCTGAGGTTGGTTCTTAAGACCACGAAGCCTTCTCCCAAGTGCATCCCAAACGTGCTCTATTGGATTAAGGTCAGGGGACCTCAATGACCAGTCCATGACGTTGATTCCAGCGTTTTGAAGGAAATTTCGTGTCAACATCGCGGTATGCGGCCGAGCATTATCATGCTAGATCTGTAGACCTGGGCCATGAGCCGCCATGAAAGGAACGAGTTCAGGGATGAGCACCTGGTCGCGGTAAGCAGAAGCTGTGAGGTTTCCACGGATGACCAGAAGTCGGGAACGGTTGTTCCCACAGAAAGCACCCACACCATGCAACTTCCGCCCCCGACTTCCTGTACACAACATTGGGCATACCGTTCACGACGTCGTCCCCAGACTCTATGCCTGCCGTCCGCGAATCTGAGGGTAAACCTGGATTCATCGCTAAAGACGACTCGATTCCAGTCTCTCTGGGTCCATCGGAGGTGACGTTGGGCCCACAGCAGACGTTGACGTTGATGAAACGGCGTCAATATTGGCCCACGATATGGACGTCGAGAATGGAGATTGGCAGCCCGCAACCGATTTCGAATGGTCTGTGAGGACAGCCGACCTCTAAACATCTCAGCCCTGCGTGTAGGTCACGTAGGACGATTTGACGGTCTTCTGCTCATGACGTCACACGTGGACGACCCGACCTTGGGAGATCAGAAGTGGTGCCAGTTTGTTGTAGACGACCTCGCAAGTCATACACAGTACGACGGCTGCATCCCATTGCTCTTGCGACGTCAATAACTGATCTTCCCGCTTGCAACATGCCAACGGCACGTTCACGTTGCACATTTGACAATCGTGGCATTTCAAGTACCGTTAGAACTGTGGTTTAAAATTGTTTTTCAATTGTTGAGGCCAATGCAAACACGTGCATATGAAGAAAACTTCGATGCGAAGATCACGTGATCGACTGCACGTGCAAAACCTGATTTGGCACTAACGTCATTTTGCACGACGAATGGATGGGTTTGAGTGGGTTTTGCTAACGTTTTTCTAGAGTCGACAGATAGGGATCTCATTTCGGATACATAGATGTATCATCAGAGAAAAATTATTCATTATTTTCAAATGACATTTTGTGAAGTTTCTTTTTGACTCAGTATATAAAACCATAAAATACTCAATGAAACACTGATCATAATCAAAACGTCAGACCAACTCTGTGAGGCTTTTGCAGAATTTATGTCCTGAAAATAAAATAGTTGTTTAACATACTATCCTTAAAATATTGACACAGTTCACTATTTGTTACGAGGGAGGAGTGCAGAGAAAGGGACAGCCAGGTGTGCGAGAAAGGATGGAGACGGCACAGCACAGGTTAATGAATCAATAACTTTGTCGGCACACGTGCACGTGCTTCTCATGTGCATCAGTTGATCACCATACGCCGACCATATCATCTTTTGTAACGAGTTATTATCACATGTTCGTGAGATGGTCTGAATCGTACTATCCACTCAAGCTTATAACAAATATGAGCGTATGAATATGGACAGGGTTTTGAAGCTTCTATTAATATATAAGAATGCATTTTGTAACTGTCCCTACCGTAACACCAGCCAACGGCTACACACTCGAGTACAGCAATGACGTAGCAGGCCACAGCGCCCAAATACCAATCAAGCAACTGGAACACGTATACTCCGCCCTGGAATACGTACATATACATGTGAAACACTGGCGTGCACTGATGGATTATTTCCCTTGATGGGGGTACTGTAAAATATTGTTCCCCTGAAAGGGTGTGTAAGCCCACGTTATTCAAATCATTGTTATATATAGCACAGTTTTTAATCGCAGTATATATGTCGATGTTAGAAAAATAGCTAAACTTGCATACAGTTGCTGACAACTGAAGGTACGGTTTGAATCCAGCTTTAGTCCATGCAAATAGCGAAAGCACTGTAAGTCCCCACGGTCTCTAGTCTGGTTACCTGCCTTCAGTTGTTTGCAAAATATAGCCCGTTTTCTATTATGTATTGTTGTTTAGAATACTGTATCTGTATGGTTACGTACCAGTTTAAAAAGAAATTCTGTGATATCTAGTGATTTTACTGTCTTTCATTGACAGGTATCTAGTTTATCAACGTTGGCCTTGATTACTAGATATCTTTTGTAGTCACTATATGGCTGCAATATTGCCGATGTGACTTTAAATTTTAACTCGCTCACTCACCTCTGATGGCTGATTTGTGTAAAAGGAAGTAATTTTGGACTGCCCAAGCAGGGATTTACGGTTACCTCATTTGCAGTCAAACCTAATATTGCTAATCAGAACTTATTATGCACATTATATAAATCTAATTATGAATCTGAAAAAAGACTGAAACCTTAAGGTTATCACTCTATTCCAGCGATTTTGTTTATGCAGCCATTTGCGATTGACATGCGGTTACACTTCAATGTCAGTACAATGCAGTAGTTTACGAACATAATGCATATATAATAGTAGTCCAGGACAAATGTTATGAAAAATACTTCAAAATGAGTGAGTGAAGTACAGAATGTGTGTCCACAAAAATTATATTAGGACAAAAAGTAAATGTCAAGGCCTGCAATAACCGTTGAAGAAGACGACTAACGGTTCCGTGTTTTAAAAATCCATATATATTGAAAAGTCCAGGTGACAACTATTAAATGCTGGACCGCAATATAACTACTAAACGGAACACTAACCATTATATTTTTGGGTGGTAATATGCTATATTGTTGTCTAAATGCACATGTGTACTCTCTATGAATGCTTTTTATCATGATATCTATTGATTTTGATGCATATTTCCATAAACAGACATGTGTAACAATTAAAAAACATGCATTTTAGGATGGAAGCCTTATATGAAAGGTCAACGTGACACGCTCAATTTCTAGACAACTGTATGGTGTCCATGGAGAAAGAAGTCGTTATCGACGGAGTGCAACAGGTTCTATTTATGGAGGTAGGCATAATGCGTATGTCAAGTCAAGCGACCTTAAATTTATGTTTAACGTCAGTACATGCATCACACTTACATGAGTTGTGAACACAAGACCAGCAAGGCACACGACCCCCATGAACACAGCAGCCATGATAGTCTGCAGATGCTTGACGTGGAACCGCCTCGGAAGCAGATCTTCCATACAACCAACAGCTGTCTCAACATGGCTCAACTATATGTGAGAAATACACTTAAAAGGAAAATGGACAGATAGATTGAAGGAATGAAAGACAGTCAACTTAGCCACCGCGTACAAATGTAAATGGCACGTAATATACATGTATGCTTTGTGTTTTGTAACCAGTATGTTTTGTGGGGCATTTTTAAAGAAAATATTACCGTGTACATACTATTTAACCCGTGAAGGTCCGGGTTAGAATATTGATCTTCAGTAACCCATGCTTGTCGTAAGAGGATCGGGTCGGTTCCCAATTGCGCAGATGGATGCTCATGCTGTTGATCACTGAGTTCTCTGGTCCAGACTCGATTATTTACAGTGAGTGAGTGAGTTTAGTTTTACGCCGCACTCAGCAATATCCCAGCTATATGGCGGCGGTCTGTAAATAATTAAGTCTGGACTAGACAATCCAGTGATCAACAGCATGAGCATCGATCTGCGCAATTGGGAACCGATGACATGTGTCAAGCAAGTCAAAAAGCCTGACCACCCGATCCCGTTTGTCGCCTCTTACGACAAGCACAGTCGCCTTTTGTGGCAAGCATGAGTTGCTGAAGACCTATTCTACCCCGGATCTTCACGGGTTCGATTATTTACAGACCGCCGCCATATAGCTGGAATATTGCTGAGTGTGTGGCGTAAAACTAAACTCACTCACTCACATTTGCTATTTCACTGTTAGGTATGCTCACTATTGGTGATGGTGATTCATATACGTATGCAGTTATTTGTTATTATTAAGAAAGGACCTAATTAACCATATTTACCGTTGAGTCAACCACCATCATCAACACTGTTGCAAAGAATAACACGGACCACAGTTGTGGAAACGGCAGTAATGAAACTGCCTCTGGGTACACAATGAATCCAATGCCAGGACCTACAAGTGTATTTCATGACATTTAAAAACAAAACGCAAAACAATTGGACATCGTATAAAATACTGTGACAAACTCCATATACTTATGTGACGGCTTCAAAACGAACATTCAGACCCATTACATTTGATTCCGAAAACTATTGTGTCTTGATCTTCCTACGAAACTGATATTTCAATTGGGTATAAAATGCCAACAAATGGGAAAGGTTATTCAGAGGACATCGAATACCAGTGATTACCCTTGATGATGCATGTCCAATTCCGCCACTTTTAACACATATTGCTTCCTGTCATGCAGTAGCGGCAATTAATTAGTGTATTTTCTGCATTAAGACATTAGTTTACTTCAATTACTGCATTCACTGTTGCATTAAGGTAATTGAATATTATAATTATTGCATTTAAACAATTAATTGTTGTAATAACTGCACTGAGACAACTCATTACTGTATGTACTGCATTGAGACAATTCATCACTGTATGTACTGCATTGATACAATGCTTCACTGTAATTACTGCATAGAGAATTCATCACTGTAAGTACTGCATTGAGAACAATTCATCACTGTAAGTACATTTATGTAAGTACTGCATTGAGAAACTCATCACTGTAATAACTATACTGAGACAGTATATCACTGTAAGTACTGCATTCAGATAATTCATTACCGTGATTACTGCATCGAGACAGTTCATTGCTTTAAATACTGTAATGACAGTACTTATTGTTGTAAGTACTGCATTGAAAATGTAATACTGTAATTACTGCATTCATCACTGTAAGTACTCCATCGAGATGATTCATTACTTCAACTGTAACCTCCTTACCAGATGTTACAACGTCAGCCACAGGTTGTTGTAGACTATGAGCCAGGAACCCGACTGTTGCAAAGACAACAAAACCAGCAAACACACTTGTCAGCTCGCCTATGACGGTCACGATGATGGAGTCTCTGTAAAAGAATTTCGTCCACATTCACATGAACAAACAAGGGGATACTTCTATGGATATACAAATTCAAGCAGGTGATCACGGTGATTGCATCTAGACCGAAACGACATCACATATATTGGAATAAAGAAGTTGTACATCCTTAGAACTATTCCCTTTGTTCATCACCCCAGCTTCTAAATGTCACTCATAAAACTTTCACATGAGCAATTGCACTATTTGGGAGGGAACTTCAATAGTTGTGTCCAATTCAAGGGAAACACAAAGTGGATTGTTGATCATATTTAGGTGGATGAATCAAAACATTAGCAAGACAATAATATTGGAACGTAAATCAAATACGAAACTTGTATAGTCATTAACTTCTTATAGTGGAAATTTTGAAGCACAATATTCACAACTTTGTGGATAATAACTTCTTCTCGTTCGTAATGGGAACAATCATGTGTATCTAAACGTCTCAATCACGAAATAAAAGAAGTTTTTACGAAATAAAAGAAGTTGTTGTCCATAAAGTCAATATTGTATAGTCATTATTTATCACCTACTTATATTCTTTATACGACCACATCACGAGGTCACGGTGATGGAGTCTCTGTAAGAGAATGTCGTCCACATTCACATGAGCAAACAAGGGGATAGTTCTATGGATATACAAATTCAAGCAAGTGATAACAGTGTTAACATCTTGACCGAAACGACATCGGATGATTTGGAAAAAGTTGTTCATACACAGAACTATTTCCTTTCGCTGGGCAAGTTGAATGGAAACAAATACACAAAGCTACAAAACATACCTTATGAGATTCGAGTGAAAGGAATTGTGGCTTGCCATGACAATAAGGGCGCCCCACGCAGGACCAACAGAAAAGAACACTTGCACCAGGGCTTCTAACCACACCTGCAGAGATACACATTTTGCATATATCCAAAAGAACTAACATTAGTCAACTACCGCACACGTGCATATAAAATCAAACAGGTTGCTTAGAACAAATGACGTCACTTCCGAAAGGGTGTGAGATTGAGGGTATTAACCTAATCATAGTCTATCTACCTGTGATTTGTTTAAATAGACCTTCAAATACTATGAATTCAAAGACGTTTAGTGCCATGATCGTGTGAAACTTTAACTAGCTTTTCCTAGATATATTTGCAATAATTGCTTGCGATTGTCGGACACATTTTACTTATGGAACAGTTTGATCAGTAACCACTGAGGCCTCATGACAGCCGATGAAAAACATAATATGCCAACATTGTAACAACCAACACAAGTTATTTGTACCATGTCAGGCAGTTACATTAATCGAGGAGTACATCTGTGGATATCCACAAATAGGACTTTTCTCTAAGTGTTCTGGGTCAGATGATAGAAACACCCTTTCAGTGAAACGTGAGCACCAAACACTGATGCAGATGCTCTCAAGATTAGTTAATCCCATCGCATCTATTGTACTACAATTTTATATGTGGGGAATTGTCCTACTGGTTACAAAACAGGGGTGGGGAAATGGCAAGATGGGGAAATGTCATGTGGGGAATTGTCCCAGTGGGGAATTGTCCTGATGGGGAAATTTCCTACACTCATTTTATATATCTTCAAAGGAACTAAGATTAGTCAACCACCGCACACGTGCACATAAAATCAAACAGGTTGCTTAGAACAAATGATGTCACTTCCGAAAAGAGTGTGAAATTGTGGTTATCTACCTTTGATTTGTTTAAATATACCTTCAACACTATAAATTCAAAGTGAGTGAGTGAGTGAGTGAGTTAAAATATAACGTCACCTCGGCAATATTTCAGCCATATCGTGACGAGAACATATTTGACATTGAAGTGGAATATATGTATATTATAAAAACCTGTCGACGAAGGACAGTGAAACAACTAGAACATCACAATTAGAATTAAATCTAGCGTGGATATAGCACTATTGGGACAATACAATATAAAAACAGGCTATAATTCAAAGAATTTTATTAGCTTTTACTAGGTATCCTCAAAAAAGCACTTTGGAATAATTGCTTGCAATTGCCGGATAAATTTTACTTATGGAACTGTTTCATCAGTAACCATCGAGACTTCATTGCAGCCGATGAAGGGAAACAAAATCTCAATATTGTAACCACCAAAAGAAGTTAAATGTCAGGAGTACATCTGTGAATATCCACAAATAGGAACAATAAATATGTCAATTTCGTTAGATAACAATGCACAGTCAATCAGCGTAGTACCAGCTAATCATATGAATATAGTATATCCTAATTGCGTAGATGGATGCTCATGTTGTTTTGTTAGATATTGTTAACAATTCCAGAGTGCCAGAAGATGGATGCGTAGATGGATGCACATGTTGTTGATCACTTAATCGTCTGGTCTAGACTCGATTATTTACAGACTACCCCCATATAGCTGGAATATTGCTGAGTGCGGCGTAAAACCTAACTCACTCACTATGAATATAGTATGTTGTTTTGTTAGATATTGTTAACAATTCCAGAGTGCAAGAAGATGGATGCGTAGATGGATGCACATGTTGTTGATCACTTAATCGTCTGGTCTAGACTCGATTATTTACAGACTACCCCCATATAGCTGGAATATTGCTGAGTGCGGCGTAAAACCTAACTCACTCACTATGAATATAGTATGTTGTTTTGTTAGATATTGTTAACAATTCCAGAGTGCAAGAAGATGGATGCGTAGATGGATGCACATGTTGTTGATCACTTAATCGGCTGGTCTAGACTCGATTATTTACAGACTACCCCCATATAGCTGGAATATTGCTGAGTGCGGCGTAAAACTTAACTCACTCACTATGAATATAGTATGTTGTTTTGTTAGATATTGTTAACAATTCCAGTGTGAAAGAAAACAGTAATCAATCAACCGTTACGCATTAAAGGTGAATCCGGTGATAACGTAGTCTTATTAAAATAACGCCGGTGGGACGACTATAAGTTTTGGTTTCGTTTCCCTTTAACGCGATACCAATCAAAAGGCTGTATTCTTCACTGACAAGCATCAGTCAAATAGATATGATGCCTGCGGACCTGAGGATGCTGCAGACGCGTGAAGTCCGGAGTTAGGTAAAACAGAACACCATCCACAGCACCCGGCATCATGCACGACCTCACCAGCAACACTAGCAGCAGGACATACGGCATCAACGCTGTCACATACACCACCTGTATAGAGATTCAATTACATTCGTTAAGAGAACATAAGGACTATGAGAACAAAAAGAGATAACGAAAATATATGGAAACAGGGGATTCAGAGGTGTCCATTAAAGTGTCATTCTTCCTTCAGATTCATAATCAGGTGTATATAATATACATTTTGAAAGTTCCGATAAGCAGTATTAGGTTTTACTGCAAATGAGGTAACCGTACATCCGTGCTGGGGCAGTCCAGAATTACTTCCTTATACATGAATCAGCCATCAGAAAATTGTTGCTCCAGTATATTCGGAAGACGTTAAGACTTCACTCACAGCAACATTGTGCATTAAAATTACCTTTCGCATGGAAACGGAACATATTTTACATACTTACTGTATTTAATATTAACTAATAATTGTCACCTTTCCAAGGGATTTGATCCCATTCATGACGCATAGGAAAACAGCAACACATGCGATGGACCAGCAGATGACGAGATGCGGTTGCATAGCGCCGAGGTCATCTATCCCTGACGAAACACCTAGAGCCTTGTTCCTGGGGACGTTATGAGTGAGTGAGTGAGTGAGTTTACTTCGGTGAGTCAGGTCGGTAGTATTTCAGCCATATTGTGACTTGATCAAGTTATACAGTTGTACAGATATATGTTAATATTTAAAAACTATCATCTATGGATAGAAACATAACCAACAATATATCACATTTTTGTATTAAAACTAGTAATATAACATTAAAACTGAGTATCTGGCACCGATACATAAAACTGGGGACACCATACTAGGGACTATGGGGACCTATATGTATATGGTTCCCCAGCCGGATGATCACCTTTCACTGGTTACTGGCGATTGTCGTAGGTTTAGCCAGAGATTAAGAATACACACTTATTCAGCCCCTAAAATTCAGGTAGATATAACACCTTGAAAGACGTCATCCTATAAACCCTTATACTTTGGGGGCGTTATGACACGTGAAGGCATTTATGACACGATTGGCGTTCAGTCAACATCACGTAGCAAATGGTCAATATATACGTGTGTGTGTGTGTGTGTGCGTGCGCGCGTTACAATGCATGAAGATCTTACAGAAATCAAAAGAAAATAGTGCGATACGATGAAGGCTTGTGCACATGGTCAAATGAAGCGGAAAAGAAATCTGCTAATAGCAGTTTTTATATGTGAAAGTAAACTGGTCCTATGTTGTGTAAATGCATTGCATTATTACATGACTCACTGCCAGAACTCCTCTGTTGATGTGTGTCCAAACACACTTGAAGATTCTGGAGTTCTGTTAAAAGTTGCGTATCCAATGCTTGCAGTTGTATATGGAGATGTGTCACTGGCTTGAGTTGGTTTCATGGATACAGAATTATTTACTCCAGTGTCGCCTACAACTACACACTGTGGCGTGTTCCAGGGGTTGCCACAGGTAGTCCAGGGCAGGACGTCGGAGAAGGAGCTGTAGATGTAGTAGACGCCCCAGGAAAACATCACGCTGTAGTAGGGGACGATGATACAGCTAACTGCCAGTATGCAAAATCCAAGACCTATGCATAAAGTAAACCATCACTCATAGACAGACATTCTATTCCTTATTCATATTTGACATGTTAGCGAGTGCAACCATCAACACATGTTGAAAAGACAACGTTAGAATTAGAAAACATGGGCACGTGGTTAAAACAATACATGTCAACAGCGTGCGTTTTATGTCTATATGTTTCTTAATCTATGCATGTTGGTCATTTTATGGTTGTTAGATGTCGTTAAACTTTGAAGTCTTCGTATTGAAGGAAACGACTGTGATCAAAGAATTGGTACTTTTCAGAGTGAGCGAGTTAAAATTGTACAGTCATGTAATGATGAAAACAAGGTATTCATTGTAAAATATTTGTTGATCTTTCCGAATATTTTATATGTTTGGCTTTATAGCTGCAGTGTCCTCGCTAATCATAGACCCTAACTCAAGTATACTTGTTATTACGGTTTACTCCCAAAAGTTAGACGTCCGAAAAGTCAGACGTCCCAGTTGTCAGACAAATCAGTCAGGCGTGACTGTGATTACAACCTAGTGTTACACACTGATATATATAATGAACCTGTCCCATACAGTAACGAGATTGTTTTCACATTTGTACAGAAACACTTTGATCAGAATGGTAATGTTGACTGGCTTACTCAATCACTGGGTTCTCCAAATGTGTTTTCACAATGTTCAAACGGCAAATGTATCACTTGCCAAATTCAATAATGCTAACTCTTCTGATCCCAAGCACATTCTAACAAACCCCAAATTAATTATACCACTCACTAAATAGCTCATTCATACAAAATAATGCCACACAATCTAGCAACAAAAACAATAATACAATAATTCCACTTTTTACCATTTTAATAATTGTTCTAAATATGTATATATGTTCTTTTAACTTTTCAAATGAGTTCTCTCTTGTTGTCAACTATATTTTTTAACCTTTTATAGGTTCATCATTATTCACTTAATAAACATGTTTTTAAACATGGGTTGGTTGTAGAGCAACATATTAACAAAATACAATCAAATTAAACAGGTTTCTGTCCTCAAACAATAACAATAACCATTAATTACACTACATATATATTAAATTCCAAATCTCTATTACTCTTTACCTATTTCATATTATTTTCGTTTTTTACCTTAGTAGTTTCACAAATTTCACAACCCTTAGTAATGATCGAAGAAATTTTGCTCACGCCAAAGAAGCAGTTATTCACCAGATACTTCTGACTAAAATAACATTCTACTACATTTCTGGTCATAAATATATATATTTGTAGTTAAAATAAACTCGTTCAACAAAACAAAATAAAATTTAGCGACGCTAAATATAGCAAATAACTAACTAAGGGTTGAGAACAAACGATGGTCTTCAGAGAGTAGAATACGTGAAGTCACATAAGGGTACTCCTCAGGTATTCCTTCAAGGCCACACATACACCAAGAACAGGGGAGTCAGGGGGGAGTTTGTTCACTGGCGATGTGGAAGACGAAGAGGGTCTACAGGGAAACTGAGAACAGGCTGATGCGTCCGCAAGCGACCCTGCGTGCAGGAGGGGTGACAAACATGGAGTTCCTCGATGCAGTTGGGCATTTGCTCAGACTTGGTTGACATTCTTGCCTGTATAGTGAATGATGTGAAAGATGTGAAATCTTAAATCTTGAATGATTTGATTGACCGTTTAAATTATCTTGTTAAATTAACTTATTTTTTTTAATGCCAAATAAAGTCATTACAAAGTCATCCATAGATCATTTATAATTATCTTGTTGAAATAACTTATTTGGTTTTATGTCAAATAAAGTCATTGTCATTATCCACAATCTCTTCTCTTTGCGTTTGGATTAGTACATTTGGACTAGTCCATTAATTAACGAAGGTAACCTCAGTTCATTAATTAACGAAGGGAACCTCAGTGCAACCAACCATAACCTTTCTTGTTTTAAGGCGTCTAACTTTGGGGACGTCTAACTTTTGGGAGGACACCGTTATTACCTTTCATGAGTGGACATATTGACCAAATCTTTATGGGTCCTTTAGCAGAAAACTGACCAAGAGCAACCTCCAGGATGAAGAGCGGGATTGCCAACACAGCTGTTGAGATGACGTAGGGAATCAGGAACGCCCCTTTGAAAGAAACAGTGATGCAACACTTTTCAATGGTAACTTCCTTGGTATAGTGATTTATCTTGTCGTAAACGCAGCCTGTGTAATGTAAGCATATTTTACTCACACCTTTAAAGCTTTCCAGACTTTTCCTAAAATATTTGGAAATTCTGTATCGCCTTTCCCTCGACATTGGGCTGTGTGCTTACATGGTTTACATGTTCATTTATCTCAAATTGAACAACCGATTTCTCATGAATAATGTTCGATGGTTTTGTTCCGCATTGTTACATTATGTTGTGATTTGATTACATAATGATTGTTACTGTTTTTATTTGTGCCGGGGGCTTGCAGGACACCTAAGTTAAAATGTTCAAAACGGTTTACAATAAATGGTTCTGTTGAGTTCGTAATACAATGATGAGTTCGTATGTACAATTGCTACCAAACATTTCGTTGTCAATTAAACAATTCGTTGTCAGTTAAACATTGATCAAAATGCACTATACCTACCTCCTCCGTTCTTTTGACAGACATATGGAAACCTCCAGAGATTGCCAAGGCCCACGGAGTAGCCAAGCACTGCAATGATACCCTGGAACTTGTTGGACCATTGTGGCTTCCTTTGTTCCACATTCTCCTGATTTGTACTTTTTCCCTGCAATCATTTAAAATGTTTCATTCATATTTTACACTGGCGATGCATTTGAGATCAGACAGCAATGTGTTGTGGGGTGATTGACAAATGTGATCCTTTCGGGATCTCATACCGTATAATACCGTGACTTGGTGAACGTTTGTGACTATTTCTGGTCGTCCGTTGGGAAGAACCATTATTCTTTTCATTATTTGCTACATATTGTCCCCAAGTAATACCACCTTGATTGCTATCCTTCAGAAGTCAGATGTCGGACCAGTCAAGAGAAGAACAGTGTACACTCAAGAAGATTAAACTTGCTTCGAGTCGACACACAACTCTTCTAACATGGACGCGATCGAGGGATTTGCTGTTTTACTGGACAGCTTAACAACAAATACAGTGAGTTCAATTAGTAATTATTATCTACTTACATTTTTATCTCCGACAAGTTCCGACAAACAAGCTTCTGATTCTTGTTCTGTCATAGTTTTCATGGATGTATCTGACGGAAAATATACATACCAAATTATTTAAATGACAGTACACGTAAAGCACTTTTTAGCACAAGATGGGGCGGTGGGGTGTGTGTACTTCGATTCCCCGCATGGGTACAATGTATAGATAAATCCAGAGACGAGTATGATCCAGTTGCAGGATGAAGATATGTGTTCGAACCATCATTAAAGATACACAAATCATTGATTGAGAAGAAATCTTCAAGAATCTTTCCTTTTGCATTGGTGTTATTACTACCCCAAAGTGGGTTATCACCATTTAAATCCCCCATGATAAGACATGGTTTGGGGAGCTGGTCATAAAGCGCCTGAAGATCAGATTGCCGTAGAGAGGATGATGGTGGTATATTAAGTGAACACAAAGTAAGAACGACATGTAGTGTTAAACGGACAGCAACGGCCCGTAAAGGGGTATGAAGCGAAATAGGGCTGTGAATCGTTCCCTGACTCACCAGAATAGATGATCCTCCAGAAGCTTTATCTCCTGGGGGAGAAAAACAGTGATAGGAATCATATCTTCTCAAAACAAAGTTATCTGTAGATTTCAAATATGTTTCTTGCAAACACAATGCTGATGGTTTGAAATCTTGAATTAACAGTTGGAGGTCATTTAAGTTGTGTCTGAGTCTTCTGCAGTTCCACTGTACAATATGCGAAGGCATTATCTCTTTGGTGGATTAATTGGGGATCTACCCCGCCCTTTCTTTGAAGGCGACAAGCTATGTGTCCTGTGCTGACTGTTGTCGGACACATCCATTTCCTCAAGTGATCCATATTTATTAAATAACTGGATCTTGTTATTGGATCCTTTCGACATTCTGCCACTTTGAGTTTTTTTCAACGATTCTGTCCTTGGTTTGGTTTTGGTTTTCGCCATTTGTTTTACATGTGTGTCAGTTTGTGTGTTTTCAGACGACTGTGATGACAATAATTATTGTGAACAGGTGGTTCCTAAAATGTGGCCGAGTCAGAAGACAGCTGGATTACCTCCGGACATTCTGTTGTCGTCCAGGTATAATCTGTTTGTTTAACAGCTACACTGGAAACAGGAACTCGGTGTGGAACAGGTTGTGAAATAGGTCGGGAAATAGCCTCTGATGATAGGTAAAGGCCGGTTCTGCCCCACTTTGACCTAGTTTTCGATGGTGCCGACCTACTTAGGCTGGGGTATCACTAGTGTTGCCAGATATGGTGCAATACACCTGGCTATGTTTAGAAGTGAAAAATCCCCCAGTCTAAAGATAGCGAGAAATGGTATAACTACGATTTGGAGGGCGACTAATCTACTATTTATCCATTATGTTTTTAGATGTTTGGTCATCTTTTTCCCAGCTGGTATCATCAGAACCAGATTCGGTATTATCAGTAGAAAGGACAAGAATATGTCATTTGTCAATAGCTTAGCGCATACAATAGCCGCTCGACATTTATGGGCGAAATGAGGTCACTGCTTGCCTTATACAGTCACTCGCTGATTCACATGCTCGGTCACAGTGCAAATCGCATACACTAGCCGACAATATTTAAATCATAACTGCTACATATACTATTCTGTGGTGATATGTATCACCCAGTTCTCTATGTAAGCAAAATGTTATCTTCGGCAGACTGGGTGGATCAAAACATGTCTAGACATGAGCTCAGTGAAGAGTCCTGTTAGTAACAATAAAAGCAGTTATCTCCCTTCCCTGTTTTATTTCAAAGCGCTAACTAACGCTCGCTTATGCTGGTTACACTGTTTGTATTTATAAACCAGCTGACCGCGAAGGCGGGTTATTCCAATTGCCGTCACCGCAGAGAAAGGATCTTTGGAGAGCTCGCTACATTACTGCAGGCGTTGTCTACATGGGTTTAGCAGACAGGATTTGTTAGGGGATCATTCCATTTATTGTTCTGAGCACAGTCCGCAGAAGATCCGCTTACCAAATAAATATAACAAATGGATTCAATTTGATTCTATACAGAAACAGCTAAAGTACCCTTTGTCATTTATGCTGATTTCTTTGAGGCACTGACCAGAAAGGTCAGTGAGGGCAACAAAACAGAAAATACTACCCTCTATCAACAGCATGATCCTTGTGGTTATTGCTATAAAGTTGTCTGCTCAAATCCCGAATTTACAAAACCATCAGTAGTGTACCGGGGACCTGATGTCATTTCTCATTTTATTGACGCTTTATTACAAGAAGAGAAAAAGTCATCAATGAAAGTTGCAAAGCGTCATATCCTCTTCATATGACAAAGAAGCAGAAATGAACTTTCAAATGGCTGATACCTGCCATGTTTGTTAAGAACCTTTCGATTCAGAATCTGTCAAGGTGCGCGACCACGATCACATGGTAGAAAGAAATAATTATCGTGGTGCTGCACATAAGGATTGCAATCTACAACTGAAGTTCAAAAAGAGTAAGAAAGTGAAAAAGGGTGAGAAAAGGGATCAGGATAGAAACAAAACAGGTAATAAAGAGAGAAAGGGACCAGATTGTGTCATACCCATAATTTTTTCACAATCTACGGGGTTACGATTCACACCACCTCATTAAACATCTAGACAAATAGGAAATAAGCAGAGATTGTCTGATTGTTTGAACCAAGATTGGCATCATACTATTTCACTTATGAGCAAATGTCAGACATACTGTCAATTTAAGACAATTTTGCAAGTTGAAAGATATCTGTCCTTAGACATTCCATGGTGTTACAAACATGTTTTAAGCCAGTTCAGATGTAATAACTTCAAACTTGCCATTGAAACAGGGAGGCATAATAATACACTGTACTGTAATAGAATTTGTTTATATTGTCAAAGCAAAGGCATGTCATTAGTTGAAGATGAATACCACCTATTGATGGTTTTGTCAACGCTATAAAGATGCAAGAATTGAATGTTTCCACCATACCTATATTAGAAACCCCTGATAGAGGAAAGTTTTGCAAGACTTATGTCATGTGTAATGATGAAAATGTTTTTGACAAGTATTGCTAAGTTTCTGATGAAGGCTCGTAAAATTAGAAATGCATAAATCTCAGTCAATATTCTACACATTAAGATCTATATGTTATTTCTGAGATATGTTATGCCTATACACTGTGCAAGTATGTCAGACACTTTATAAAGCAAATTACAACATACTGTCACTTTATGACACTTGTGTAAATTGAAAGATATATTTCCTTAGATATATTCTACAGTATAATAAACATGTTTTAAGCTAGTCCAGATATAATAGCTTCCAACCTCCAACTGTAACAGGGAGGCATAATACACTGTACTGTAATAGACTCTGTTTATATTGCTATACCAGTAGTTGAAGAGGAATACCATTTAAACTGTCAATGTTTAAAAAATGCATGAGATAGAATGTTTTCCACCTTACCTATATATTGGTAACCTGTGTAAGATAGTCTTGTTAGACTTGTGTCATCTAAGGATGATGTTTTGATAAGTGTTGCTACTTTTTTCTTTAAAAGGGTATATTATGCCTGTACATTGTGCTAAAATGTTTCATAGCTTTCAGAGGCAAAATTAGAAATGCATAAATCTCAGTCAATATTCTACACATTAAGATCTATATGTTATTTCTTAGATATGTTATGCCTATACACTATGCAAATATGTCAGACACTTTATAAAGCAAATTACAACATACTGTCACTTCATGACACTTGTGTAAATTGAAAGATATATTCTACAGTATTATAAACATGTTTCAAGCCAGTCCAGATATAATAGCTTCCAACCTCCAACTGTAACAGGGAGGCATAATACACTGTACCGTAATAGACCTCTGTTTATATTGCTTTATACCAGTAGTTGAAGATGAATACCATTTAAATTGTCAATGCTTTAAAAAATGCATCAGATAGAATGTTTTCCCTTACCTATATATTGGTAACCTGTGTAAGATAGTCTCGTTAGACTTGTGTCATCTAAGGATGATGTTTTGATAACTGTTGCTACTTTTTCTTTAGTAGGGTACATTATGCCTGTACATTGTACACAAATGTTTTCACAGCTTTCAGAGGCAATAATGTATGACCATTACTGGTTTTACCAGCATCAAACCAAAATGTAAAAATATTCTGTAATGTGGGCCATGGCCTTGTATACTGAAAATAAATCTGTCTGTCTGTCTGTCCACCTCATTAAACAACTAGACAAATCAGTGAATCAAAAGCTTAGCTGCTTAGCTAACAACATGGAGAAATATATTTCCTTCTCCATTGGAAATTTAAGGTTCATTGATTCTCTCCATTTTCTTTCATCCTCCTTAGATACTTTAGTTACAAATCTGGTGAAGGAAGACCCATCCCAGTTCTGTCATTTAAGAAAGAAATTTCCAATCCCATCTCAGGCAGAGCTGTTATTGAGAAAGGGGGTCTATCCCTATGACTTCATGGATGATGAATGCAAATTTAGACTGACACAACTTCCTAAACAGGCAGATTTTGTCAGTAAGTTAACTGGACATTCTCACACTGATGGAGATTATGCACATGCACAAAATGTGTGGTCTTTCTTTGAATTGAAGCAAAACATGGGGAATATCACGACTCTGTATGTGAAAACAGACGTATTGCTTTTTTCAGCAGATATTTTGAAAGTTTTAGATCAATGGCACTCCAGTACTATCATTTAGACCCAGCTCATTACTACACTCTGCCCTGGCATGGGTTGGGATGCCATGTTGAAAATGGGAAAGGTTGAGCTTGAGCGTTTGACTGATATTGACCAAATTCTCATGATAGAATCAGGAATGAGGGGTGGTATTAGCATGATATCTAAGAAACACAGCCTTTCAAACCTTCAGGGCAAGATGGTTATCATTCAGATAACCTGAACAAACATTTGATATACTGGGATGCCAACAATCTCTATGGGTGGGCAATGTCTCAAAGCCCTACCTGAGGCGCAATTTTGACTGGGTTGAGGGTGTTGATGAGTTAGACATTATGGTGCGACCCCTGATGCTGACATTGGATATAT